TGGGTGAGAGAGAGAGAGAGCTCAGTCATGGGAGGAGCCAGAGAGAGTAGGAAAGAGAGATTCCCAAGCAGGTTCTGTGCTGTCAGCTCAATCCCATGATTCTTGGATCATGACCTGAGCCAAAATCAAGAGCTGGATGCTTAACTGACTAAGCAACCCAGGTGCCCTCACATGCCAGCTTTGAAGCATAATATATAAAGCTACATTTTACCAACTGAAGATATATAGAAACATCACTCCTCATGATATGAAAGTCTCTTCTACCATAACACATATAAAGTATACCTAAGTGTAAAATGAATTATCCCCTAATATTGATATTGATTTGATTTATTTATAATCATGTTATTCTTATAAAAATTCATTACGTTCAATGTAGCATCTATTAAGAATCTAAAATTGTTTTCATGAATACTTCTATTATATCATATACTGAAACTTTTTAAAGAATGTTAGTAGGATTCTATTGCATATGTAATATCTGTAACATATGTAATATGCTTAATATGTGATATATTATTGAATATTTAAAATTAGATTTAAAAGTGACCTTTTCTTTTACTTTTTACTTCTTAAACTATACTTTTTTTTTCTTATTTTTACCCATAAATCTTGTGGAGAAATAATAACAAAAAGAAGCTATTGATCCTACTTGATGTTCCCTAAGAACTCTGAAATGAAATCTTTAGGGAGGTAGGAGAGAGAAAGGAATTCCCTAATTCTGCTTTAGAAGTAATTTAATGTATATGATAAGTATAATCTATACTTCATTAACTTAATAAAATGTTTCAACTTTAATTCATTGTTGTAGTGTAAAAAAAAGTCCTTGGATTTAGTGTAGCTTTATTTAAAATATAAGATTTTTCAGGTATTTTTCTTAAATTAAAAAAAAATTTAACCATAAAAATATATAAATCATGCATTCTTTTCCCCTTGACACAGTCCCTTGTTTCATCTCCCAAGGAAATTCAGAAATGTGCTGGAGTCTATGCCTTGATATTTCAAACCCATCTTATTCTGGGGACTTCTCCTTCCCCCACCCAAGTATAGGAACAGAAATTGGTTGTTCCTTCTTCCTGCTAGTTTTCCACATTTTCTTACAGTTTCTCAATTTCATCTTATGTAGAACGTTTTATCTTTTCTTAATTTCCCATCATGGTTATTGCAACCAAGTCTTCAGAGATGTTCACATCATTATTTGAGTGATTTAAAACTCATTCTCACTACTTTTCATTCTTTGGGCTATTCACGCCAGTACTGGCAATAGCTCTAAGTAGGTCTCAGCTTTCCTCCAAGTCCCTATTTCTTATTCTATGTCACAGACTCACTTCTTCCCTTTGAAGTTAATTGATGGAAGAAAGGGTCTGAGCCTTTAGAATCTCAGAAGGTATAACAATGAAGCTTTCTTGGAGATAATATAAGTAGTAGTATAAACATTTTGGGGCCAGGTGATATTCTTTCCTTTCAAACCGAGAAAACTATTTAAGTTCTTCCTACACTGTAGGAAAGAAGTTGTAGATACTAGCATCTCACTAAGGTAAATATATGGATCTTTTGAAATGCTGAATCAAAATGTGCTTCATGTAGCTTAGTTTAACAGATCTGTGAGTGGCTCTGCATGTACCAAATCCAAAGGCTTTAGAGATAAATGAATAGTTTTTACCATAATGAAGCTTATAATTTAGTAATAGTAATAATGATAATTACTAACATATGTATATTTACTCTGTAACAAATACTGTGGTAAATATTTTACATAGATTATGTTATTTAGTAGTTCTTAGACACTAAAAGGATCCACCTCTCTCAGAGTAGCATTTATGATATTGCCACCTACATTGATAACCTCAAAACAATGACAGTCACAGATATCAAATCTTATGTTTACATGTGTTTCTTTCTCATCCATTATATTCAAAATCTTTTTAATGTCATCGGCCTTTTGAGCTCTGTGTTGGTGGTATCCCAGTATGAACCTGAGTGGAGATTTTATCTGGGGACACAGTATCCACGTCCCCATGTAAAGGTATTTTTACTACCTCCAAGAGAATGTTTCTTCCTCCTATATAAATGAAGCCATCAACACCCAGCTAGAAAGCATATATGAAATATCTCAAGCTCATGAGTAAGACACAGTAATCCAAGCATGGCCCTTTCAGGCTCCTCCTTACCAAGCAAAATGGGGTTTGGGATCACCTTATCTAGGGCTGCCTACCTGAGCTGACAACTAAAAGCTAGAACTTTATAGGGACTTCAAATGCATTGTAGTTTAAAAGTGCTAATGACTGGGGTGCCTGGGTAGCTCAGTTGGTTAAGCATCCGACTTCAGCTCAGGTCATGGTCTCATGGTCCGTGAGTTCGAACCCCACGTCAGGCTCTGTGCTGCCAGCTCAGAGCCTAGAGCCTGTTTCAGATTCTCTGTCTCCCTCTCTCTCTCTCGTCCTCCCTTGCTCATGCTCTGTCTCTCTCTGTCTCTCAAAAATAAATAACCGCAAAAAAAAAATTATAAAAGTGGTAAAGATTGTTTTCTCCAGGAATGACTAAAAAGCCTGTGTATGGGAGGAGTCTCTTTTCCCCTTTATTATAAACTTGTCTTACTGAGGCCTCAGCCCATGCTGAGGTCTTGAGTGACCAGGGTACATGTCTAAGGCTAGCATCTATACACTTCAAAGTCAAGCTATAGCAGCCTGAACCCTTCCAGCCCTGACCATTTGGCAAGTCTTCTGTATAGCCACCTCCTTCCCTGAGAGACCACAATTTGCTTGCCAGGTTAAGAGCGGCTAGTGTATGCTGAGAGACCTTGTATGGCTAACAATTGGTTGGACCTCCCCTAGTATCTTAGTCCTCTAAGGACTATGCCTTTGCAGATTCTGTTGGCTAAGATAACCAACCAACTTTATAACAACCTACATAATACACTAAATATCTAGTGCATTTTTCAATAACTCCATGAAAACACACAGCCTGTCATCTTTAGACAGAGCCACAATAAACTGTAATGATCACCAAGATGAAAATACCATGTGGTCAGTGCCTAAGTCTTCAGCCTTATACCCAAGTCAACAGTTAAAAAACAATTACACAATTGGTTAAAAAAAATAAAAACAAAAGAAGAAGAAGAAGAAGGAGAAGAAGAAGAAGAAGAAGAAGAAGAAGAAGAAGAAGAAGAAGCAGCAGCAGCAGCAGCAGCAGCAGCAGCAGCAGCAGCTGATCCACACATTCAACCACATGAACCATACTCCCCAATTATGTTCCATTTCTATTTCTTGCTGACCTGACCCTGTATAGATTTCTGACAGTCTCCTAAATTGAACTTCTCCAACCAAGCTGCAAGGCACTTCCACAGGGACAGGCATTCTAGCTAGATATTGGGAAAGCAGAACTGAATATATGCTCTTTGGAGGCAGCCCAGCTCCTAATGGGAAGGAGTGAGAGAGTGGGCTGGGCGGCCTTCACATGTCAAGTTCTCCTCCCAAAAGCTTGGGCCCAAATAAGTTTGTTACAGTAAAGCGGTTTCCAGCACATACAGGCAAATTAGTAATGAGTAATTTCCCCCATCATTATTATTGCATGCCAGGAAAACCTTATTATTTTGAATACATTCTGTAACTGGTTTAAAAATATCTGACTTGTAAAATAACTTGCAAGAAATTATTGCTACATCTAAAAATATGATTTGATAAATTAGAGGATTCTTTTGATAGGTAGATCAGCTACCAATTGTATTTACAAATTGGTGTTTATTTAAAAAAAATTCTGCTCAAATTATTTTCCACTGACAAATAATTAATGACTTACAAAGCACTTACTTTATTGTTCAAAAAAGTAAAATTCACAAATTGCATGTATTTAAATTGATGACTTTTTACCATATACCTACAGGCTTCCAATTATGGGATGACTATGTCATGGGAATAAAAGGCACAACATAAGGAATATAGTCAATGATACTGTAATAACAATGTAACAGGACAAATGGTAGCTACACGTTTGGTGAACACAGCATAACATATAAACTTGACAAATCACTTAAGTTTTACACCTAAAACTAATGTAATATTGTGTGTCAACTATACTCAAATAAAATAAGTTAATAATAAATAAAAATAAATTAAAAAGAATTAAATAAAGAACTACCAACTCCATAGTGTGCTATATACTTGTAAACAATGATAAATATTGTATGTAGCAAATGATAATGGACAGAGAATTAAATAAAATTGTACTGCAGACAGTTGTTGGGAAGCTCCCACATTTCTCCTCATGGTGACCCTCTCTTCTCGTCTAATTTCTTGGCCTTCATGATCCCTCTTCAACATATGTTTATCAAGTACCCACTATACATTAGACAAATGCTGTTCCCCACATTGCCCAGGTTCCCAGTTGTGCACTGCTGGGCACTATTCTTTAGATCACTGTCTCATTCCTTCTCACAAATAACTGCTGGGAAAAAATCTCATTATCTAATTCATAATGAGGTACTACTTATTTTGAATAGGTTAACATACTACTCAGTACTAGAGTTTTCATATCTCCTATGTAAATATGCCTTAACCCAAAGGAATGAATGTGTATCTGCATCCAGTAAGAGGTAACTTTTCTTAAGATGCCTTTCTAGTTTCCCTCAAAGCCACTTTCAAACCATACAGCTACCTACTCTTCAGATAGAATGCTACTTGCTGTATTGGGCTCTGTTTTCCTAGATACTAAGGGAAACACGGGTTCATGTGGCATATATTTCCTATTACATTTATATTGGCCCATATGTTACTAACTCTGCATTATTTGAATTGTGAGAAATCCATTGTAGAAGTTGGAAACAAATAAAATGATGCAGTTTTCAAACTGCCTTAAAATTATTCCAGGATATTCCTAACTTCATTCATTATGTACAAATTTGTGGTAGTTGTTCTGTATATAAAATATGAGTGATTCATTGAGAGCTTATCCTGAGATGTTTAAAATGAATACTATATGATGTTTGTCTTTGTTTGAACTAGAAGCTGAAGCTAATTTTATGCTGAAAATTCATCCTCTGAAGAAATACCCTGTGGACCTTTACTACCTGGTTGATGTCTCCGCATCAATGCACAATAATATTGAAAAATTAAATTCCGTTGGAAATGATTTATCTAGAAAAATGTCATATTTCTCCCGTGACTTCCGCCTTGGATTTGGCTCATATGTTGATAAAACAGTCTCACCATACATTAGCATCCACCCAGAAAGGATTCATAATCAATGCAGGTATCTAGTGGTTGATGTGAATTTCCTAATGCCATATTCAATTTTTTTTATAAAATCTTTCTTTGTTTTTATATAAAGGGCTTACTAAATTTTATATTTTTGTTTTATTAAGAAATGAAAACATTTCGTGAGGAAGTATGTTCCTATCTGAAAACTTACAAGATTACCTATAGCTTGGACTTTTTGTTTTTTCAAATATGAATCATTTTTATCATAAAAAACCCTACAAATAATATTAGTAATTTTAGAAAAAAACCCAGTATTCAGGCTACCATGTATAGCAATACCTGTTTGAGAATTCTGTATTTGTTCTTTTTGATTGCACCAAATTTGTTAAACGAAAGTTAGTCAAATTTAACCTTATAATGCCAGTACCTCAACTATCTTTCCATTACTGTGTTGTGACTAGGTTTGTAATTATGTTGTCTAAGATGTGACTTCAAAGAAAGCTCTGCTGGTACATGGAAGGTAGTCAAAAAGATGAGACTTTGTCTGTTTTCTAGATAGAGCCTCTTTTCTTATCATTTTGAAACTCTGATTTTAAATACCATATGTCCCACTATGAAACAAGAACTAACCTTAAAAGTAAGTTTCTCACACAGTATCCTAATTTCCTGTTGAGTTCTCAGAAAGAAATGTGTTCCGTTCTTCGTTAATATAACATTTCATTTTAACATCTTTTCTAGTTCTATAAATTGTCCAGATCACTTTACAGTGTACACTCTAACTACCCAAACAACTCTGCTAACTGTTGTAAGGGATACATCTCCTCATGGGGCTGTGTGCACCTTTCCTTGAACATGCATGTGACTGAGAAATGGTTCTTACTTTTTGGGACATCATGGTATTCTCAAAGCAATGTTAATAAACTCATGATTCATCAATACTTACATACCAAGCATCACTTTAAAAACTAGCATAATATTTTAAATATTAAACAATAGTATAATGTTTTCACTAAATTCCCAAAAACATTTCCCAAAAAGTGTTTTTCAGCTGTTGCATGGTCATATATAATAGGAAAGCACTGCAAATTCTTATCTCCTCTTAAAAATTAACCATGCAGATTAGCATAATAAAAGCTCTTTAGGTGTCCTACATTAAACATGTTTAATCTACTTTAGTTTTTGGACACCAAACCATTATATTCCTATTTCCTGCTTGCAAAGAAATATCCAACAATATTGAACTTTTCTGTGATTTTATAAAGTACCGATTTTGTCTAATAAAATTTCCTTGGCAAAAAAATTAACATATTTCCTTTTTTACACCAAACCACACAATTTTACTGAGTAGTATTTTGGATCTTTGAATGAAGCATAGCAAAATAGAATTTGCATTTCTGTTTTTCTCACATAGTGACTACAATTTAGACTGTATGCCTCCCCATGGATACATCCATGTGCTATCTTTGACAGAGAACATTACTGAGTTTGAAAAAGCAGTTCACAGACAAAAGATCTCTGGAAATATAGATACACCTGAAGGAGGTTTTGATGCCATGCTTCAGGCAGCTGTCTGTGAGGTAAGAAGTTTCATATTATTTTGTTCAGATACAAAATTCCCCAAGGATTTAAGATTATTTTCCTCTATGATTTATGGAGTCAAAACACAATATAGAAGAATACATTCTTCTGACTCTCATTTGTCACCAATGTTATTCATTTTGCTATGTGTTCAGGACAGAGGGGCTAAATTGGGAGAAGGCGATAAATAGGAAAATATCTTAAAAGGGAAACAATAACTTATGCGCTTGGAAAATCCTTTCCAAAAGGGCTACTCTTTTTCACTCACCACTTTCCAAAGAGCCTGAAATAGATTGTTTTCCTACTCACAATTCGTTGGGTGCTCTGCACTTCATAGCCCTGGCTTAGTCTTCCTCTGGGAGAGCGCCAGAAATCTCTAGCTGGGAGATAGTGCAGTCAAATGGCTCTGTTAAAATAGAGGGTGTACAAATAAAAGTTAGTGCTATTTAGGAAACAGCATTGTATGTACACATATCATTCTAGCCTGACTTAATGTTTGTTAAATTCCCAATTTAACATTTCTTAAGATAGAAACCACAGTAAAGATCTATGGTATTGTACAAGATCTAATGGCATGTTTATTTTAAGAGTCATATTGGATGGCGAAAAGAAGCAAAAAGACTGCTGCTGGTGATGACAGATCAGACATCTCATCTTGCTCTTGATAGCAAATTGGCAGGCATAGTGGTGCCAAACGACGGAAACTGCCATCTAAAAAACAACATCTACGTCAGATCAACAAGCATGGTAATGTGGCAATAGATTCTTAGTACTTATGATTCTTTTGGCCAAAATATAGGTTTAAACTGGCAATTCAGCTGTTCTTGTACCAAGAAATTACCTGAATGGGCATGATCCGGAGTCAGGATACACCGTGAGAGAAAAGTTATGGAATGATGCAATCTGTAAATGCTGATTGATATATTATAAGGCTAAAATGCTTTAACAACGTCTAGTGCTGACTTTCTGATATGCTAAAAAGCACTGTATAATTTGTCAAAATGAAAGTGATACAGAAGCTTACTGTGTATGGAATTAAAGTACCTTAAAGATATATATAGATATATGTTTTTTGCTTTATATTAAAAACAACTGGATCTGCATAGTTGGTATCTAAAAACAATATTAAGGATTGGTAAGCAAAGGATATTTGGCCTGAAGAATCTTCACAGTATAATAAATAGACTAAATAGAGACTAAGAAAAAAGAGGAAAACAAGGTTGGCTTTCAATATTCTGGACCTCAATCCTTCCCTCTGAAGTTTATCTGTATTTAGAGGCTCTTTTTTTTAAATCAATAGATAACTGAATGGCTTCCTGAGGGTTAGCTTCAGCTTTGAATCATATACTTAATACAATCTTTTCCATTAGCTACTCTACATGTGGAAAATCAACTGTATGAAGGATCATTTATTTCTGATGCAAACTTATTTATACAGAATGTTAGAACAAATGTCAAACTTTCTCAGATCTTGGTATCCCAGTGTCTACATATTTTTCCCCTGGTTTTTATAGTAAAAAAAAAGTCTGACAGTTCAGTTCATTAAGTATTTAGGTCCAAATAACTTAACTATTTATGTCCTAAGAACATAGTAGCCAATTAAAAATAAAAATAATATACATGAATCACCAAAAAATACATATATGTGTATATTTATGTCATTCTTAGTAATGAACTTACTAATAGAAACTTGCCAAGCCTTAGAATCAGACTAGACATCACCACCCTCATTTCCTGTTTCACATTGATTTCCATGCTGGCCAATTTTGCAAAGATATGATATCATCTAAAGGAACAAAGCCAAATGTAATCTTAAAAACACAAACTACCTCCAGCTAGTAGTTCATGACTACCTGACATATGCCAAAATATCACACTGAAATTTAAAGCTATTCCAAGGCGCTCTGGTAAGTGTACTGCAGTGCTCCCCGGCACCTCATCCTCATGCACACTTTGGGAATTGCAGTATTAGAAGCATATAAGTTATGTGGAAATTTATGTGATTCCATTGAGTCAAAGTTAAATAGCTTACATTTAGTTAATCTGGAGCATCTTAGCAGACTTATTAAAAATCTAGATGAGGAAGTGTATTACTGCATAGAATAAGTTCAACCCTTGTTTTGTTTAGCCTCTTGTTAGAAGCCTCAAATTTTAAAGACTTTAAAAGGAATTTGAATTTTAAAATTGGGGATTTGGAATTATTCCAATAATGTCTTTCCTTTTTCTAATTCTCTTCTATTTAGTCACATTTCACTTTGGTAGACCCACCCATTTTAATTGAGTCATTTCTTATCTTTCCTTACTCCTATTTAACCTTTTTAAAATCTGAGATAGAGTAATTATTTACCAGGGAGTAGAGGAGGAGACAAGAGTAACTATTCTATTGTGAGCCAAAGAGAAGCATTTTTTTTAAGAAAAAATAATAATCACATTATTCTCAAATTGCATTGCATTATCCTTTTGAATTTTTGCCAAGTCACTTAAGTCATGTCTTTTTAATTTTATTTAGAGGGTGCTGCTGTACATCTAGGAAAGATTCCTTAAGGCAAAGAAATGCTCTCATAATTTTAGACATATGCCATGCCATATAACCTTATGGAAATAAATTATAATTCTGGTGGAATTTTACACTGTGTTTGGGCTCTTATGAAATCAAGAATTTGGACAATCTATCATAAACTCCATTTGCCTTCTTGAACTTTGTTCCACCTACTTAACACAATGAACCTTCCAGATGTCACTGATGTGTATCAAGTAAACCAAGAAGCAGTGTGTTTGTTAATACCTTAGAAGAATATTTTTATCTCATTTATCCCACGTCTTTGTTTTAAGGGATACTCTTCCTAAGAATTCTCATTCCCTTCATTTCCAGGGACACTGCCCTAAAACAAAAGAAGTTGAAGCATTTTGGTTGATCCCTCGACTATGCATTTATATCTGCAAGATGTGCTACTGCTCTGAACCTTCCTATATCCAAAGCTACCCTGAACCTGACTCTAAGCATATTTACCTGCTTATTTTAAAATGATCTCCATCCTCTCCTTTCTGGCCATTATAGGGGAATTTAAAAAGGTATAAGTTAGACAAGCAATTAAACACTTCACTTCCTAGCTCTACCTCCAGTGGCCAACCCCAGTAATGTTGAATGGTATCTCAGCTTCGTGGTCTAAGACTCTGGTTGTTTTATTTATAAAAGGAAATAACTGATAAAAGACCTTTTATATGACTAAATAATATGGGCCAGAGTTCTGCTACTTTTACACATGGCTATTTCATGAGGGTCAATGTGAATTCCAAAATAATAACTACCATGTTTTGGCTATTTATTAACTGAAACCATTATAGCAATACTGTATACAGTATTGAATTTATCTTCACAGCAACTCTGTAGAATAGTCATAATTAACTTTTTTTTTTTTTAACAAACAGAAAAACTTAAGAGAAGTAGTTAAATAAGTTGACTAAGGACAGACAGCTAAGAAGTTTTAATAAGTAGCACAGGTGGGGCTCAATTGAGTTCAATCTTAAATTAAAATCTGTATTCTTTGCCACAGTGTCTCAAAGGAAAAGTATAAGATATAGAGCAATAAAGTCCTTGGTGTAATTTCTGATCTAATTTCCTGGCTGCAGTCTTACTTATGGAAGACATAAAGCACATAATTTTATTTACATGAATAAAGAAGATAGAATTAAAAAGTTACTATTTATACATTATTATATATTAGTATATGGCTATTAGCAAGTAATATTACACTATTGAATAAATTACATTTTCCACTGCTTTTTCTCCGAGTTCCAGAATGAAAACTTGAGTAATAATGTAGTTTTATAATCTATCCAGTAATAATGGCAGTTTAAAATATGACATTCTTTCTAAAATAGTAGATATTAGTATAAAAATCATTAATAGTGTAGAAGAAAGTTATTAATACGGGGTCTAAAATTTCAGCCTGTTTCCTCACCCAGCTCTTCCAGGATGATGCTCAGTCTCACCCAGAGACTTATTATAGCATTCCACCCCATCCTTGGTTGAGGCCAAGAATAACACCAACGTCTACAGTAACAGTGAAAAGAAGCTGAGGAGCAGATATTTGGAAGAGGCACACCAGTCATACAATGAATCCTTAATGGTGTATTTTCAAAGGTTGTTATGACTGTCCGTTCTGGAGGCAGACATGTAAATTGGCACAATCCTACCATAGTCCTAAATGTATTTAATAGCTTAGGTTTGGTGTTTCTTTTTCTCTCCAGTTTTTTGTTTTTTGGTCTCATCATATCAATTATGGTCAGAGATTCTTCACACTTCCTATCATATAACTCCTCAGAATCACCTTACTGCTGGATTCATAGTTCACTCCCTCCCCTGTAGCCTCATTTGGATATACCAACTGCTGAACTGGTCACCATCTTAGAGGATAGAAGTTGAATTGCAGAAGGCTTGTTTATGGGTAAAAACAGTCAATATTCTGCTTGTGACTTCTCATGTAACTTTATTTAACATGTTATTCGCTTACATTAAGTCAATTAGGAAGACTTTTTCAGTTTTTCCAGAACTGCTGCTGAAGATAGGGAGCCTGAGAAAATACTTCACTAATTTAATCTATAACTTTGCTGAGTTAAAAAAAAAAAGTTAGTTATTATATTTATTTGTGTTCCTATTTTTCTGAAAGGGCTATTTCTAACATTTTCAAATGTCTGAGAGACTCATTTATAATTAATGCTATTATCAGATAGCATTCCATGTAAGGAGACAATTTTAATCTTTTGGTAAAGAGACTTTCTACTTATTTTTGCTGCTCTGCGACTAAGTAACTTAGAAATAACTTCAGAAAGTGTTAAGTGTTTCTCTTTTTCTGCTTCTCATCTTGTTTGTCTCAGACACATACTAATAAAAATGCTAATTCATTGAGCACTTATCTTGTGCTGGCACATTGCTGAGCATATCATTTATGCTATCCCATTCATATCTCTTCAACCCATTTTACAAACAAGGAAGCTGAAACTTAGAGACCACAAGTTAATTTATGTAGGGTCACTGAGATGCTCTAGATTATCAGTCAAGATCCACACCTACGCTGTCTAATACCACAATCCATTGCTGTGCTTGTGCTGGATGCCTCCATTTATATTACACCCAACCGTGAGCTGGATTATCTATCTGCTGGGTCCTCCACCTACCTTAGCTCATTAAATCTCTGAACCAACTCAACAGGGCAATAAGCATCATCATACCCATCCACAATGAAGTGGAGAGGGAGGGTAAATATGTTGCTCTGGGAACTGGATTCTCAGATCTTTAACTTGCCCTTTACACCACTGTCTTCAAACTGAGTACTGGCTGCTTTTCAGAACACCAGTGAATGTGAGTGATTTTGGTGACACTGAAAGAAAGCTAAGTTAGGACTCATTTAAAAAATAGTTTTAAGCATACTCAACCCTGAAGTCTTCCAAAAATAATTATTCTAAATGTTTTGAACACCTAAAAATATACTTTCCAAGCCCAAGTTTATACAATAGTCCTAATTTTGCACAATACCGAATGCTGTATCTAATGAAAAACAAATCTAGAATAACCTCAAGTCTTCTACCTTTTGTCACAGACTGAGGCTTAAAAGTACAATAAGTATTTAAAGTAAAATGGAGAGATGTCCAAAACCATCCTTTTAAGATAATTAGTATGTATTTAGTCTCATGGAAATTACCGATTTGTAATAATGGGAATAATAATAACAGTAATTCTAATAAGG